AAAAAAAAAAAAATAGTCAGAAACATACTATAGTTTTGTAAAAATGATCATTCTGAGATCATGATGTTTTAGTTTCATGTATGAAAGAAAAGACAATTGATTTTAACTTTATGAAATCCTAAACTTCATGCTTGGGAGAAAGGTCATGACATTGTGAATAGAATAAGGGCGTGGTATGTGGTGCTGGAACATCCTCCGTCCCACAGACACAGAGCTTGACATTCACAACCGCTCTCACCCACATGGCAGAGACTGGCAGAGACAACAGAGACTCCCAGAGGCAAGGTTTCCCATCACTTCTGAGAATAACACGGAAACCTGGGGCAAGTGTTCAATCACAAAACACAATGAACACTTACTAGGTGCCCAGGGGTGCTTGTCCCTGAACCAAATGCTTGGGAACATATTCAACAGAACACAAGGAAACTGAATACCTTGAAGTAGGCTGACCCTGTCCCTCCTCGTCTATGGGCTACTGTGGTTCTGTTAGGTGAAGGTATACTATTGTCTTTGAGTTATGACTGTGCTGTTTTTAATTTGTCTGGCTCTTGCCTATAGTGACCCAGGAAAAAAGCTGTGCTTTCACACCCATCTCTGGTCCCAAAGTCACCAACATTAGAAATGTTTATGAGAAATTCTCTTGAAGGGGGCACTTTTCTGGATACAAAGGAAGATTTTTATAATATAATCAGTTGAATCACAGGATTTAGATAAATCACAGCTGATTTTGGTTCAGTGGTTTGGCTATACTCTAGGATTTATCCGTGGGTCTGATTGGGATACTTTTGGGGAACTATTCTGACCTTCTAATCACCTTCCATTTATAGAGTTATCCTTTAGTTTGCTCAGTTCTGGTCTGGAAATTCTTAACCTGAACTATAGTCATATTTCCTTTGCAGACAGTTGTGGAAATAATCAAGCACACAAAGTTGAGTGTGAAATCCATTTAGTGGATCACAACTAGCACCTTTATTTTCAATAAAACATAATAAAAATGTCAGACTGCATTGCTTGTAGAAGGGGTATTGTTGCATGAAATTTTATTTGTATTTGTATGTATGTGCATGTGTCATGAGTTGCAATGTGAAATCTATTTCTTATTTGGGGGTAAAGTTTAAAAAGTTCAAGAAATACTGACGGAGTACTTGACTTTGAGGTTAAGAGTACAAATGTTGGAGCTAAATGTTCAAGTTTGAATCCGGGCTCCACCATTTGCTAGCTGTGGGATTTTGGCCAAATTACTTCTTCTGTGCCATAGTTTTCACACATTTCCCAGATGTGCTACGAGAGTAATAGTAGTAGTTGCCTCAATAGGTTGATATGATGATCAAGTACATTAACATTGTAGAGTGCTTAGAACTTTGCTTAGTACATAGCAAGTGACTTGTAAATGACTAGGGGGAGGGAATCTGTTCTTTGAGTATATTCTCAAATATTTTATATATTGAATCAAGACAAGAAAGTTCCTGCCCTATGGATGTTTATAACCTAGTATATACATATATACTTTAAAAAGTTGTCGTTCTGAGTAACATCATATCAGAATGCTTGGAAGCAGTTTGCTAGGTTCAAACCACAGCTCCACCACTCACTTGGTTCACTTGGTGTGAACTCTGGCCAGTTATTTATTTGACTTAGCAGATCCTCAATTTCTTAATCTATAAAGTGGGACTAATAGAATCTATCTCATAAGGCTGTTGCCAGGACAAAATGAGACCACCCACAGAAAATGCAGAGAGCTCAAGCAATAATTCCTATTATCACTCTTACTGTTATTCAGACCATGTCTTTGTTTCTTCTTTTCCAACATAATGAAAAGCAACCTCTCCTCTTCTTTTATGTGAGTGGCTGAAGTCCTCATTTCAGTTCGGCTGTGGTGAATCAACCACATAGGGGCTGAGATAAAGACCAATACTCCTGAATAGGAAAGTAATTGTGAGGCCGAGGCTGGGATTCAGACCGCCCCACTGTGCCTTCTCTACAGCCTTGCTCTCACCACTTAGCAAAGTCACTAGACTTGTCCATTTTCCTCAGCAGGTCTTCTCATCCCTATGGATAATTCTGAAGTGTCACAATGCAAGCCTGACAGCCAGAGGCCACTTTGCAGTATAGCTGTCTATAGCCAGAGGGGCACATCATGTTTCCTTCCCCTTAATCTTGGGGAGAGGAAACTGAGCAGGACAATGCTTGCTGTCCAATATGATGAAGCGCTTTGTATGATATATCACTTGTAAATATGATGATAGCATGAAAGGGCTCATTAGCTGAAGGCGCCTTCCACTTGAGTCCTTCAATTCTTAAGGACCTTTGGCAAAGCTGTTCTGACAAAGAAATCTAAGCTTCCCGAGGACTCCTGAGCTTGAGGACCTGCTACTATTTTTCTGTAACTCTCTCCTCTTCTCCCATGGCACATCACTTCTTATACCGTAGCATTTACTGTGGCTTTTACAAATGGATAATGGAGCTATATTATGCAGTATCAATCTCTTGCTTGACCATAAGCTCCTCAAGGGCAGGGGACCCATCTTATTCATCTTTGTATCCCGGGAAAGCCCCTGGCACACATCTCAATCAATGTCTGTGGAACTGAAGTGTTTGAATTTATATCCCATCCAGAGCGCAGAATGGGATTAGAGCTGAAGGCAAGCGAGAAATCATTTATTTCCCGTTGCTGAGCTGAGTGCTGGCTCCCAAAGAAATTCAAGTCACCCCCAAAGGCTGCATCCTTCAGCTCCAGGGAGGGCCTTAAGGAGAGTCTATTGATGCTTTTGATGAAAGTTCTTTCTCCTAGTTCTTAGAGGCACTAAGGAAAATGAAGCACCCCACCCTGCATCTTGCTGGTTTACAGAGTCAGGAGAAAGTAAAGTGGAAATGTGCACTCTTCATCTGCTTAGCTGATGTACAGAGACAGACAGTGAGTAGGGCCACAGAGCCCATTCTTACTCAGCTCCGTCCTAATTAAATACAGGGGCATAAATAATTTTCCTCCTTTTCAAAAGGCTCAGGATTTTACTTAACGTTTTACTAAATAATATAAAACAGAAATAAAGGCAGAACAGTCTTTTGAGAACTTCCCAGGCGTCCAAGCCAGCCACCAGCCACTCTGCCTAAATCTTGTGTGTGTGTGTGTGTGTGTGTCTATGGTATATATCCGCTCCAACCCTGCTCACAACCAGACAAGACCCGTATTAATATCTCCACTTACAGCTGAGGAAACTGAGACCCAGGGAGGTTAAATAGAAATCAGGAATTGGAGATCAGCTCCGTTTGATCCACTCACTATACCACGGAGTTTCTCACTTATTCTCCACCACGCTGGTGAGTGCGTGTGTGTGAGCGTGACAGAGCGTGTTTCCTTTTCTTCCCTATAAAGTCTTCCTTCTCCTTCTGGTCAGTTTTCTCGATTTCACTTTTTGGAGTCAAAGTCCAGTTCTTCTCCAAGGTCTCACCGTTCCCTTGCTGTCCCGCTCTAATGTCCTGAGGACGGCCAGCCACTCCTCCGCTAAGTTTGGAGTCCCAGACCTTGGCCCGGATTCCCAGCTCCCCTCCCACCGTCCAGGGACCCGCGCCGCGTCCTCGATCCCGCGCGCCCCAGCGCTCTCGCCGGACCCTGGGGCCCCGCTTCGGCCCCGCCTCCCCTACCTGACGCCCGCGCGGCCGGGGGCGCCGCAGCCTCCGCCCACCGGCGCGCCGGCCCTGCCATTGGCTCCCCGGGCTGCCCGTCTCCGCCGCTCCGTCCTGGAGGCAGGTTTCGCCGGAGAAGCCGCAGTCCCGGCGGCTCCGGCGCGGCGCGGGAGCACTGTGGAGCGCAGAGCGCGGACCGGAGCGGGCATGTCCCTGCGCACGGGAGTCCTCGTCGGCCGCTGGGCCCCGGGGGCTGCTAACTTGGCGGCGGGCTCCTGCGGCCCCGCCGCGGCCATGTAGTCGCCGGCGGGGCTCCCTGCAGCCCGGGAGCGGCAGCGCGAGTGAGCCGGAGCCCAGCAGCCCGCGGCTTCCCCTCGAGGCGCTGAGCGCGCGTCGCGCCCCTCCGCCGCTCGGACGGCACTTTGGGTCCGAGAGGGAAATGGGGGAGAAAGTTTCGGAGGCGCCGGAGCCGGTGCCCCGCGGCTGCAGCGGCCGCGGAGCCCGGACTCCCGCTCCTGCGCCTGTCGCCGCGTCGTCGCCGGGTCCTTCTCTGGCGGAGTCCTCCTCAGGCTCAGAAACTCTGTCGGAAGAAGGGGAGCCCGGCGGCTTCTCCCGCGGGCAGCAGCCGCAGCCGCAGCCGCCGCCGGGCGGCGCCCTGGACGTCCGCCTGGCCGCCGCGTGGGCTCCCGCGCGCGTGCTGCTCGAGCCCGGAGCCCCTGCGCCGCCGCCGCCGCCCCCCGAAGGAGCTGCGCCGCCGGCGCCCCGGGGCAGCAGCGCGTCCCAGGAGGAGCAGGACGAGGAGGTGGGCCCCGCCTTCCCCCAGCTCGCCCCTCCGGGTCCCGGCTCCCTGCTGACCCTAGCTCCCCACTCCTCGGGGACTGTGGGCAAGGGCGCGCGGTGGCCGGGAGACCGGGGAGACCCCGGGCGCTCTGCCTCCAGCCCGTAGTAGTGACAGTTAGGAGCCTCCCCCTTCCCCCTTGGTCATGGACTTCCCTGTGGCTGTTACCCCGTGTGTGTTTCTACTTTCGCTGCCTAATGGTCTGCTTTTAAAATGTCAAAGCAGCAAACTCCGTAGTTTGTGTGTCTTGCTTTGGTCGGTCTGTGAATGGACGCGATCGGGACACCCAGCTTGTCCCCACAACTAAGATCTGATTCTCCAAAGTGGGCGTTGTTTCTGACCCAAACGCTTGGGCCAAGGAGGAGTCTGTGAGGGGAGACGTGGTGGGTTAGGACTGGGGACGGGTAGGAGCAGTAGCCACGGAACTGCATGGCGGGGTTTCAGTGGCGCCAGACCCCTGGCATTCACCTGCAGGTAGTTTTAGGGTATCCTGGCAGCGTCAGTGAGAGGAGGACTCCCCGCGCTCGACCCGCGGCGCAGGCGTGTGGCGCCTGCAGCTCCTGTTTGGACTAGTTTCTAGTATCTGGATGAGCGCTTGTCACCAAAGCATTTCGGAAACGTCCCACCTTGTTGAAGGGATCTATCTGTCCTAGTTTTGTGGAAGGATATCCGTTTGGAACTTGTGGGTCGCTCCCTGACACACTGAGAATGTGACTTTGGTGTCCTCTGGGCTGTTGTCTCTGGCTTTTTTCCTGCTTTTGCAGAACAGTTAAGGAAGCATAGGTTCTTCGTGTCTTTAAGATTGTTGGCTTTTGACGTTTGTTCGTGGGGAAGTCATAATCATCAGGCAGGGCCATAAATAAAACATCTTCTTAACATAGCGTCCTTGGAAAATTAATCCTTCAGTTCTCAGAATGGTATTTCCCTCATCTGATTGGGTTAGTTTTAGTAAATAATTACCTGCGTTCCTTAGAAGCAACTGGCGGCTCCTGGCTCCCCAGCCTGAAAGCAAAGACTGGGTCTCACAGAAGGTGGAAGGAAGCCAGTCCTAGCCTTGCAGAGATGGCACAAGTCTTAGCTGTCTTTGGCCAGGCCTCTTGCAGTAACCGTGACCCATTCCTGAGTGACCCCACCCCAAACTCAGGATTCTGGATGGGTGCCTACTTTCTAGTACTGTCCTTGGTACCTGGAGGTATGTCACCTTGAAGAGAGACCTTAGGTACGTTCTCTCCTGTGGTTTGGTGCTGTAATCTGTAAAATGAGGAATTCTAAGGTAAAGTTCATTTTCACCCTCATACTCCTATTTCTGATCAGGAATTTTGGATGGATCTAAAGGTCCAGATTGGCCATAGTGGCAGGATGTTGGTAGTTCTCTGCCTCACCCTGCACAGCGCTGTGTCCTGGTAGAGATGACCGGACCTGTCTCTGCTAGCATTCCTTGCTGGTTACATCTCCTTTGGAAGATGCCAGGCAGGTGCCCAATGCTTACACTGAGACTTTTGGGTCCACTTTCAGAGATGAGCACACTGTCACTGGGAACTAGGAGTACACCCCATCTTTATGATTTTTCACTAGATTCTAATTTACTGTTGGAACTGGTAGAGCAGATAGAATTAGTTGACCTGTTTTCTGTTTAGCTGGGAGGGTACTCCATGGCAAGTGACAAGGTCTTTGAGGCAGGAACTTCTCACTGTCTGATCAGGATTGTGTCGTTGATTTATTGCCTGGCCTCAGGGTGACAGTGTTTTACTCTCTTGGAAGTGGATATAATGGTAGTTTATTTCACAGGCAATGCAGTGAGATTTGCTTGATTGAAACACAGTTTGGAAAGTGGAATGACTAAATAACATTGGCCACTATTTGTGAAATCTCAGAATTGGATGTAAACGGATACAGTATTGCAATTTGTTGTGTAATTTAACCTGTGGCAAGGGATGCTGGAAATCGTCCAGAGGTGAAATCTTGACTTCTCTGAGAATTGTAAAGCAAAACTAAAACTACGTAGTTTTTTTTTTCCCCCTCAAGAGTAGAGAAGTGATCGTTTTGGTGAAAAGGGCTGAAGTACAGTGTACATTTTCCTGTTTTTACACTGGTGAGGGTATGGTGCAGTGGGTTTTAACCTTTTGTGGAGTTGTGGGCCTCTTTGAGGATCTAATGAAAGCTCTATCGCCCCTCTCCTCAGAAAACACACACAATTATAAATACCATTCCAGAGAGTTCAAGAATGCCAAGTTACAAATACTCAATGTAGTGGAAAGATCTGCTTGATGTCTAACTCTGCCACCTTAACCGGGTGTAGACCATTCAATTCTGTAAGCCCCAGCTTTCTCACCTCTTCAGTGGAAATCATAGCAATAGAGTTAGATATTTTACACATGCTATCTAATTTAATCCTAGAACAGTACCTAAGATAATAGCCTCGAGTGCCAAGTAAGTATTAGTGAGTATAATTTTCAAGTTACTTTGTGAAAAAATTTTGTGAACTGCAAGTACAACATTGATCTGTCCTAGTCTTTCACTAATGAATAATTCATATAATTTATGTGCTACATACTTACAGCCTCAGAGAGAATCTGAGGCTGTGTCTATTCAGTTTATTCCCATTTTATAAGCTAGAGAAGAGTTTTTATTTATCCCAAGTTGTATCATGACAAGGCACTGTAAATGCAGTGCCAGTTATAGGCCAGATACAAGGCAAAGAGTATAAAGCACTAAAAGCTGAAGTGCAGTTCTGAAAATGGAAAGATGTTTATTTTAAAATTGTTGTGTCTAGCTTTCAAGATTGATTATTTTCCAAAGTCGTTTTTCATAGGAACTTATTGTATCAATATTTAAAAACTGCAGACTTCAAGTTTCCAGTGTATTATTGCAGTGCTAATTTTTTGGCAACTCTGTTAAAGTCATTTTGAATATTTCTAGTATATGTGCACAGTTTGACCTATTTCATATTTTATCTTACTGTCAACATTTGTGAAAACTTAGACAATTTCTCCACTGAAGTCAGCTTTTAAGCTTTGTCTTAAAACAGTAGTTTAATGTGACAGTAAATGTAGTTTGTATGTGCTTAATATCAAGCACATGAAAGTTGGGGATAGTGTGACTTTTTGTTTAAAAAAATTGTACCTGGCTTTTGCTTCTTCTCAAGCCTGCGGATTTGGGGTCTTTGTGGGTTAAGTTCTGCCACAGTGCATTTCTGATCGTTAAGACAATCTAGACTGGAGGACTGTTCCTTTGACAGCATTTGTAAGATTTGCCATTAGGTATTCTGCCTTGTCCCTTCCCAGAGCTCCTTGTGGGGCCTCAAATAAATCACTTGGCTGCTCTTTGGTAACTGTGTTGGTAAACACATTGAAGGCAAAGCACAGTGCCTCTAATATATTAGTAGAGGCTCAGGAAGTATGTATTGGATGAAGGAGGAAAAAAGACATCTTTGAAAGTAGTTGCACATTTGATTGAAAGGTGACTGTGTGTATTCATTTATTTTTTCAGTTGTGAATTATGATAGTTAAACCTCTAGACCTCTCATCAAGAGAAAACTGTGGATCACAGCAGAAAATATTGTGAAGAGTTTTTCCAGGTAAATTTTGAATGAAGTCCAATCCCTGAGGTTTTACTTAGAACACTTTTGAAGGGACTTGTGTGTTAACCGTTATTAACTCTGGTACTCACCACACATTTTAGAACTTAGAACTTTCAGGGACTTTTAGAATGGCACAAAAGGGCTTAGTAGTAAAAAGGATTTCCAACTCAATATATACAACCTGTTTATACCCTGCTGCTCTAAGGGATTTGTTTTATTGGCAGAAGCTGGTAAACGGTCTTTCCTTAACAATAGGCACAGTTATGGGATGTCTTTAAACTGTTCGGTTAAATGGTGTATGAGTACGAGGATTGCTTTTAACATCGTCTTGGGGTTGTGTGTGGGTTCCTCGCATGGCAGTGATGCGGTGACTGAGCTTCTAGTGTTGTTGGTTACGAGACGAGAGAGCAAGAAGCAACCACAAATTCAGCAAAGCTTTTCATTGAATTTATATTTTATTATCACAGCAGCTACATAATTTGAAAAGAGAAGTAGTGGAGCAGTGCATAAATCTTGGCATATGTATTATTCAGTCTACTTTTGGATTCACTACTTTAGATCAGAATAATCACTCAGTCCACCAATATATGTTCATCCTGTGAGGCATTATCCTGGGCACGGAGGTGGTTTTGACCTCACAGAGCTTTTCCTCTAGTGGGGGAGATAATCACTAAATGTCTGATTATTAATTAATTGGTTTTAAAGGTGGCCAGCGGAGGAAGAGGCTGTGAGAGCTTGTGTAATGGTAGTGTGCAACTCATTGAGTCTGGAGTTGAGGACTGCCTCACCAAGGAAACGACGTGTGAGTTAACACCCAAAATGGTGAGCAGCAGTTAGAAGGGAAGGGACAGGTGTAATCCAGGTCACAGGCCCTGAAGGAGGAGAGAGCATAGTGGATTGGTGGCTCTGAGCAGCATCTGGGCTGTTTGAGACCTTGGTGTCAGATGACATTTGAGAGAGAGCAGCAGTTGGGTCACACGGAGTGTTTGGGCTTTTTTCTGGGGACACTAGCAACCTTTGAAGGATGTGAAGTAAGGGAGTGGCTTGCTCAGATGTATGTGATGAAGATCACCCATTTGGAAATGCTGGCATAGCTTGTTTATTAATTCTAGGGTTGGAATTGATAAGGCAAGAAATTAGGTACTCCATGCAAACACATTAGAAATATAATAGAAAAGGATTGAAATCTATCTAAGAGAACATCTTAGAGTGCCTGTCACTGTGATGTCATCTGAAGTACTGATTTTCCTGAAGGAAAAGCTTTACTGACTTGAGTGGCAAGCGAGAAGAGGCCTTGCTCTGCTTGTTTCCATAGTAAATTTTGGGGACGCATCTATCCTAGACAAGCAGGAGGGCAGGTGGTTTGAGATTGTGCGTCCCTGTT